CTTTCCAGACTCATTAATGTCTTTTGAGTCTCTGCAGTTTAGAATTATATTGACAAGTCAGATTACTGAGGTTCGTTTAAATTCATAGATGCCACTGGGATCAGTAGAAGCTCCCCTCAGCATACTTTGTTTCCACTACTGCAGTGAGGGATGCATTTAAGTAGGAGGTGATTCCATTTAATAGTTTCTTAATGAACCGTGTTACTACATTAACCAGCTGTTTAATACTTGCTACTTTACTGAAATCACTCCCTAATCACTATATAGCAGAGAATATGGTGTATCATTTAGTTTTTCTGTCAGAATGTTTAGTGATTTTTTTTTACTCTATATAGTGAACTCATGTCATTGTTTGCCACAATGCGTTTTGAAAAGTAATGTAGAGCCGATGGTCACTAACCAAGCAATATACAGTATACCATCATGCATTGTGCTTGCTGTGTTGACAGAAGAAAAACAACATAACAGAGAAACGAAAGGAGAGAGGGTAGCACTCTCAGCTTTCTCTCTCTGGCGATCTACTGCTTCTTGTTCTTGTCAAAAACATCTGAATTATCATGAGGATAAACACAGACAGGTTTATATTTGCCGTCATGTTTACAGACCAACTTTGAAACAGTATGTTTTAGTGTACGTCCCTAATATTGTGGATGACGTAATTAGTTTTTTTGTAACCGGCATGAGACAATGCAGATTATCACAGCACAAACTTCAGCAAACAATCCTTTCTAATGTCAAAATGGTAATTCAATGTTTTTAACCTAAAATAATTGATACTATGGGTAGAAATAAATATTTAAAATGTATTATGGGATTTTCCACTGGCCGATGTTGTTGTTGTTTGTCATAATCCAGCAACAATGCAATCACGTTCTAGACTCATGTCAAGGATAATTAATTCAAAGAGAATGTCCTCAACCACAATTTGGATTCAGAGTACCACAGCAAAGGATTTGGATATACAGTATTATGTAATAGTGAGGACAGGTGAAATGATTTGGCTTGACATCTCATATTCATTTATTATGTCCCTCCAAGTTTCAAATCAATCAATCTGCGATCAAGTCCGTCATCAGTCTGGTTAAAACTTCCCCAACCAAAGGAAGAGGTGGTACTTCAGTGACACATACACCTTTAAGCCTCGACTGACATCAACACATCCAGAGTGTTTCTGCTGAGATTATCTTTGCAGAGCATCCTTTCAAATAAGGATTAGAGAAACATGAAACCTGCTCTTTGTGCTCTTCTCCTCTCTAACATCCCCATCTTCCCCGCTCATGTTTTTGCTTCTCCCTCTACATTTATCCCAAACCACTTAGCAGCAAAGCAGACAAGCTCTGCAAATTCTTTCATTTACAGAGCGACTGGTTCTCCAATTAAGCTTATTTTTTTCCCACCAGAGCTGCACTGGAACTCTTTTCCTCTTCACCTCCATGAAACATTTTCCAATATTTATAAAAAGCAGCTTTACACACTTCTCTCTTTCTGTTACATAAGCGGAAACAAGACATTTCTGACACTTTAATGCATATTCTGCTAATCTTCAGGAACAGACTTTGTGAATTTTGAAAATATAAGACAACCATAAATGACACAAAATCAACCCCTTGGCAGTGGAATAAAAAGGAGAAAGAGAGTGAGGGCAGGCGAAGGAAGCCACCGATGAACCAAGACCTTACCTCAATTTCTGGCAACGTAATAGCATCGTTTCTTGCTTTAATTCTGAGGAAATGCATGTTCTCTGGTGGTGCTCACACACTATACAGACTTGCAAATGAATCCACAGTTACTCTACATAAAAGCCCTTTGTAAGTATGAAACTGTCAACCATTATCACTTCTAAGCAACCTAAAGTATTCTTGATATACTCCATGTGAACAAATTATTTCTTTCTCCTAAAATTAGACACTGAGAAGCTGTAAGCTGCAGGTAATAAGAAAAAAGTAAATGACAAAAAATGTTTCTGAAGTTGGAGCACTTTCATTTTTAGCTTGAATGATGTGACCTTTTTAAAGTTGATTCTCTAGGCTTTTGAGTTATGTGTTTTTAAATAAAGTAATGGCAGTTTATTTTGAGCGCAGCACTCTGGGGAGACTCCTCACAATGGCCTCATTTTGCCAGAGTAGGAGGCAGTCTTTTTTTGCAGGACTGTGTCGTTGCTAAGTTGTGTTTTTTTCTCCATGTTCTCTCTTTGGTTGGTTATCTGATGCTCTTGTCGCTATTCTCACAAGCTCAGATAAAAGCATAATTTTAGCCCCTGTCAGTGCATTAATACAATAGTTAAAAATGGACACACAGTTAAATATAGGTCAAACAGAGATAAGAATTGAAATCAGTGTAGTTCTGCTCTGCTTGATGTTAAAGGCAGCAAAGTAATAAATGTGTTAACACTGATATTTGCTCTGCATGAAAAGCAGCCCAGCCCTTCTCTTTTATTGGAATGTATGCTGATGCAGAGGTTTGAACCTGTCTCGCTACAGAACAAACATTTCACTTGGAAAAGAGCAACGTTTGACAGTCACATACATGCAAGCGCACATTGCTGGTGGATTCATTTATAATGTCAATGTTGTGTTTCTGTTATTTGTTTCTTGAGTTATCTGACTTCAAATGGTCATTTCGGTTGACAAGTGTTATTGGTGAATAAGTGCAGATGTTTCTGCACAATCCAGACATAAATTAGGTTTTTACCTGTTGTTCCTAACTGCTGCCAAGTAAGCTACTTCCTCATTGTTGGGTTTGTTTTTAAGTTCTCCATTTCTATCTGTAAATTGAATCATTGAATAATTGAATTATTTATATTTTAGTATATTTATTTACTTTAGTGTTTCCTGCAAATATGTATCTCAGTTTGGTACAGTACATACACAAACACAGTATACAAACTGAACATTTGCATTATTTGTATGATAAACCAGAGTAGCGTGAGAAGCTGTAATCTAAGCAAATACGGCAATACTGGCAGAACCTTTGACACTCCCAGAGCTTGGAGACTACTCTGAAGAAAGTACTCTCAACAAGTATCGATTTTTAAATTAATAAAATTGCACATGGCATAACAGGTGTTTGAAGAAAAATCATTTTCACATGATTTTCATATTAAATGTCTTCTTCTTTATTGTTGAAAAGGCCAAGTTTATATAAATGGCTCAGGCCAAAGTCTGAAATAAAATGCATTGTAATTGGCTCATTGGGTTAAATTGTACATGGTCTACACAGTGATTCATGTGCACTTAATAATAGCCAAATGATAAAGTGTATAGAATTGTTAAGGGGCCATAAAAGAAAAGGGATTACCTTACAATATAAACAAAGAGGAATCTCAATACCAATACACACTGCTGACCACCCCTCCTCCTTAAATGACACAGCACTGTGTAACTTCCCTTCTCACCGCAACTGTAATGTAATGCTATCTTTGACATTACTTTAAAATCTGATTAAATATATTTTTTGTCAGATGCAGTCCTATTAATTGGTGTACAGACCGTGTTTATTTTTAGAGCACAAAATATATACCTGAAAACCACAAATCTGCCATCTGTATGTACAATTTATTAATTAATGTAGCTAAAATTAAGTGTAAACTTAGCAACGCTGTATGTAAAAAAGTGCACAAAGGTGCACAAACTGTGTGGAAAGAATTGAAAATCCTCTGACATGACAGTTGGTCAAATTGCAGCAATATTCTAGCATAACATAAAATAAACATAAACACAGGTTTTTCAATGTAAAATGCAAAAATGTTATCATGGTGTGCTCCAAACCCTGACTGCACAGACTCACACTGTCTAATACTCTGTACATTCACTACTTTCCAACTTTTCATCTTGAGAAGGTAAGGGTGTTTTCACCCCTGAGAATCTGAGACAAACTTCAAGTCCTTGTTACATTGTTTATATTTAATCTGGTCAGTTTTGGTTTCTTATCGGTTTCTCTGAGGCAGCTGTGGCTGAGGGGTAGAGTGGTTATCTGCATTCTGAAGTGTCATTGGGCAAGATACTGAACCCCTCATAGAAAAAAAACTGTCTGAGTGTGTGAATGTGTTAATCTTACTAAAGACTCGACATATGCACGTCTTGTCATCATCATCAATGTGGGTTGCTTCTATCTATACCTGATACAAGGTGCAATTGACTCCATGTGGCTCTGTGCCGTGCTGACGTAATGCGATGTGTGCTGGACTTAACACAGCAAGACAGCTAGAGTTCTCTCAGCTGCAGCAACTCATGTCACAACACAGCGAATTGACTGAAGACTTCACAGACACTGACATGTCTTACATTTTTATTCGATGAAGTTCAGATCCATTTTACACTGTTTATTTCTCTCCAAAGAGAATGTGATGTCTTTGATCTCCTTCCGGCATTTACTGATTACACACACAAACTATACTTTTAATTTTCAGCTGAAAAAACACTTCAGTTCAGGGGTTTGTTGGTGGAAGAACAGTAATGCTCTTTCAGGTTGTATTGTTATCCTTTACTTTAATTTTTCAAACTTTTTATTGAAACATTAGAACAAACATAGGTCTTAGAACAAACATAGGTCTTGCTCCACTCATGCATTAATGTCATGTGACATGGTGGCCTTGTGCAGCACTGGAAAACGTGGAACATTCACCATTTTTATTTTCCAACATACCTTTTTTTAACACTCCACTGTCCATGGTGAAGTCACGCAGAGATACGAAGCTTCTTCTTCTGTTACTGTACTAGTGTAATGGATTCACTGCCACCTACTGCAGGGGAGTGTATACAATGACTTTTCAGGGATGCTGAGATGAATTTTAGTGATATTTGTCACAGAATAATGAAACCATCATAAATCATGGGGCGTATGTCATCGTTGATGGTACAGAGGGAAGTAGTCTGACCAATCACAGAGTATAGTTGAGGATACGGTGATTATCGATCGTCCCCCAGCGATGCCCACCCAGCCTCGGGACGAGAACGACTGTAGCCGAAGACCTCCGGAAAATACCGACCGCCGCGGTGCCTGTTGGGAAAATTCGAAGTCGACTTTCCGCCATCTTTCTTTACATAGCAAGTTATCAGGACAAAACAATAACCATTTCCAAATGATCATTTAAGCATAAATAGACCTGCTTAAACACTTTCATTTGGTCAGATGTTATAGATAACGCCTTCGTGAAGGAGCAGGTTTGACGGACTTCTATATATTGTGCACAGCCGCTAAGACCCAGCAGTTTAAAAGCGCTCGACTTGTGGAGGAGGACAACATGGGCCGCTCCCGGAGCCGCAGCTCGTCCCGGTCCAAACACTCCAAAAGCAGCAAGCACAGCAAGAAACGGAGCCGGTCTCGGTCGCGGTCCAGAGACAAGGAGAGGTCAAAGAAACGCTCCAAGTCCCGGGAATCTAAACGGAACCGGCGCAGAGAGTCTCGTTCACGGTCTCGATCCACCACAACTTCGTCCCGCAGAGAAAGAGTAGCCTCGCCGCCGGAGCGCATCGACATCTTCGGCCGGACACTGAGCAAGAGAAATGCCCTAGACGAGAAGCAGAGGAAGGAAGAGGAAGAACGAAAGGCAGAAATGGAAAGACAAAGGAAGATGTAAGCCTTTTAACGATGTAGAACCGTACCCCGCAGTGAACTGCAATATGTGCTAAGCTAAATGCTAGCTCGGCTGCGTTCAGTTGTACAGACAACGTTAGCTCTTAGCTAAGGCAATGCTAACCAGCTAGCCTCCAGAGCATGCTAACATCAGCTCGCCTCCACGGGGCCATGGCTACAAGGGAGAATATCCTTCGCTCGTCAGGCAGCCCCAGCCCTCTTAACTCAGATCCTAGCCCCCAAGTTCATTTCTGCTATTGACAAATACAAACTCAACAAAAAACACTGCTTCAATTCTTTGAAATTAATTATTTTTCATCTTGTTGGACTTTCATATCGTAGTCATTTTCTTTAACACCAATAATCAGTATTCAATTATAATAACCTTGTTATGTTCCAATAATGTAATCAGTTATAGCCCTAGAAATCATTCACTATTATAGATTGAGGTTTTATGGTGTTCTCGCACCAAGTTTAGATACTATGAGGTATTGAGAACAAATATTAAAAGACAAACTGAAAAGGTTTACATGCTGTAGGCATGCAGTAAAGGATGCTTTTAGTATGTAAGTTGGTGATATCGCCTTGAAGCAGTGTTTGTATATACCAATTGTCTGAATGTGCATTCCAGAGTGGATTAGCTGCTTCAGAATTCACTGATAAAATTGTAAAATTGTATTGTGCATTGTAAAACCCTTCAGTGTTTGCCACACGCAACAATCACTGTCTGGTTATTGTTGGTCAGGGAAGTTGCTATTGTGGAGGTGTGTGTGGTAGCCAGGGGCACAAAGACACCTGAGAGTTGAGCCCCTGTCCCCACACCTGGCCTCCTGCGTGACTCTTTTTATTCATCACTGTGTATTAGCCACAGGGCCACTTAACCAGGCCGAGAAGGAAGGACTTGGTCCTGGGTTGTGTAAGGTCTCTGGTTTCCCATTGCCTGACTGGATGAAATTTAAACCATGGGACGTAGGTTGTGTGTTAACAGTTGTGAGTAGCAGTTAGAAAACACACCACCCAAATCTGTGTTTCCTGTTCATAGTGCAGTTTGTGTGTGTGTGTGGGGGGGCAATTTAATAACACTTTTAGTAGGTATGATGGATGACGGGTGTCCATCTGCTTCAACACCTGACTTTTAGGTAGGTTCATTGAGAAAGGGCTGGCTTTTTGGAATACTTGGACTGCACTCTGCTGTAATTGAGTCAACCTTCAATGTGGTTTTACATGTGTCAGTCATGAATGACATGTTAATGGTGACTACAACAGGTTCGAAGCATAACTTTTCATTCATTCCACTATACCACCTGTAACTTGAAGTGAATATTGCACAGTAACATTTTAGTGGACATGTCCATTTTAGGACTGGGGCGACACACGTCAACATAACCGACTCCATTGTTCAAGTAAATACGTTGATTTGTGTAACATGCATCGACCCATCTTAAGGAAGAATCCAATCAGAGCACGGATTCACCTGAAGAGCAAGCTGAAGCGTAAAAAATCGCCCACGATCATCTAAAGCATAGGTCACCAATGACCATGGTCCGGATTTGGTACCAGACACATTGAATTTTGACGGAGCGTTTCTATTTTAACCTGTGCCATTTTTCATGCTGTTACGGTAATCTTATTTTAACCTGTGCAGCTTTTTCTGTCTTTACGGTAGTAAATCCTGGCAGCACTGGGTAGAGTTTAATCTGCTATAATGATCATGCTGTCTGGCTGTTATGTACGGCTCCAGCAGCTGAAAAAGGTTTATTATTCCCTCCGATGAGAATCTATGTCTTTCATAAAGAAACTCATCAGAGCAGGTAAAAAGATTTTGTCCATCTCTGAAGACCCTTGTCCTCCTCAGAAAGCCTCTAGCAATCTGCACATCGAACTCCATTGAATCCTCTTTTTTTTTGCTCCCACAGGATCCTATAAGAACATTAACAATGTTTCAAAGGAATCGATTGGTCAGTGGGCGGAGATTTTATACAGGTTGATCTCCTATCTCCAACTCTGGAGCAGGTTAGCTCTTCAGCATAAGTTACCATGGTGATTTACCCCGATACAAAATAAATGAGCTTCATAGGACTGGAAACCCTGAACTAAACTTGCGAAACCTGATTAAGTTGGAGATAAGAAATCCATGTGTATAGAAGCACCACCCACTGACCAATCAATTACTTGATTCCTGACATTCGCCTTCTTAGAGGATCCTGTGGCGGTCGGGTAGAGAGTCTCTGAGGAGGGCAAGGGTCTTCAGAGCCTGGCAAAATCCTCTTGTGTGTGCACCAGTTGTATTCGAAAGACATGAAAGACATCAGCCTACATACCACTGTAGAGTATATTTTTATGTTCATTTTTCATTTACACCCAAGTGGTCAAGTAATCCAGCTAAATCACAGACATTGATAAGATTTTTTATTTCCATTTTCTCCCTGATTGTCTCATTTGCTGTTGTAGGTCATTAAGAGGCAGCAATATCAAAATGAGACCATTTTATAACCAGTTAAAAAGACCTTGTTGTAACTAAGGATGCCAGGATTAACCGGTTGTTCCATAATCACAGTTTCATAACCGCAAGAACTGTAAAAACAACGATATTCAACTATGGTGTCCTGCATCTCGTGAGCCACTTCTGAGAAGACGTAACCTACGTAACAGCCTTATTTCCACCAACGCTGGCCAAAAAACTCCATTGGAGGAGTTCACAGCGAGAAGAGAAATCCTTGTTTACTTTCCTTTCTGACCAGCCCTGAATGAGCGGCTGACATACACCTAGTTTTTACAGCAATTTTGAAACCTAGAGAAATCTGTAATGTTAGTCAAGGTAAGATCAGTGTAATTTGATCAACAGTTGCATCATATTGCCTTTGCAAATGCATCAACATTATGGTTGTTGGCCAGAAGTGGTTGAATTAAATTAAGTTTGATGCATAATTTTTTATCTCACTTTTTAGATTTGGAAGATTTACAATTGGGGAAGTTTAATAACTGTTCAGTTGTCTGTATGATCATACATATTAAATCAAGCAGTCTATCTTGGCAACAAATCTGACATGGACCCTTGTATGCAGGGGATAATGGTGAGGAGTTGCAATCAATAGGCAGTGACTACAATAACCAGCAACATTATGGCCCTGTGGTCAGCCTTGCTGTGACAAAGTTGTTATATTTGTCTTTAGTGTGAGACCAGATCAAGCTGATAGGTTTCATCCCCAAATTTCCTGTAAACAATCCCACTGTATTTCTGCTGTCCCTCTCATTTTCTTTCTCTTGCTCTGTGTTCCAGTCGGCAGCAGGAGATAGAGGAGAAGCTGATTGAAGAGGAAACGGCACGGCGAGTGGAGGAGCTGGTGGCCAAGCGGGTTGAGGAGGAGCTGGAGAAGAGGAAGGACGAGATCGAAAGGGAGGTTCTTCGACGTGTTGAGGAAGCAAAGCGCATCATGGAGCGGCAGCTTCTAGAGGAGCTAGAAAGGCAGCGGCAGGCCGAGTTGTCAGCGCAGAAGGCCAGAGAGGTAACGCTCGGTCGTTTGGAATGCAGCCCCTCCCTTCCTTCCATACCTCTGCAACCCCTTACCTCCCTGTCCCCATCTCCCCAGTTACTTGCTCTGACTTTCTAAGGGACATGCAGGGATGGTGGGAAACCCCCACTACCCTTTTCTAAATGTAGTCCAGCCATGGTAAAAATTTTCACTGCATGGAGGGTACTTGCAGAGCCTGAAAGCCTGAATTGGTTCAAATAAATTTCGACACAATATACAAAATATAATACATTCAGTAGGTGGAACCATGTAAGTTTGAAAATCAAGTTCTTTTGGTAGTTGTGTTGATCTTTGGGTTTTGGATGCACAAGCTGATCTTTGCTTCAGCCCTACTTATTATCAGGTGTCAGTGTAACTGTTAACATGGTCATTTCATAAAATGTCTAATATGTGAAATCGAAAACTTCTTGCAGGAACATCTGTTACTCACTGGGGAACAGGCCCTCAAGCTTTTGCATGGGGAAGCTAGAAGTACTGGATTTTTGGTTTCAAAGAGCGGGGGTCATGCTTCATACTTAAAGAAGGTATGCAAGTATTGTCGCTATTAAATGTGACGACTCAAGATTTCCTTGTGTGCCTGTGAGAGTTTGCCATGGCTGGGTTACAAAATCGACTTCCTTCTCTAATTTGATTTGATCTTTTGCTTTCATACCTTTAAGTATCTCTGCTCTCTTTTGTAGAGACTTGAATTTTACCGTCACTGGCCATTTTTATATATTAATAGAATACATTGATTGCCTAAAAAGCCACAACCAGCATAAATCAAGTTTTTTAAATGAATGTAACAGTCATACTTTTCATGTAGCGTGTTAGCTAGCTCTCAGTTCAGGTAGCAGAAACAAGGCCAATCCTTTATTGGTCTTCATAATACAGTAGTTGAAAGAACCCTCCTAGGCTTTTTTAACATTAATATGAGCTCTTTTGCTTCTTTTTTCCCCTTTTTGAACAGTAAATGAAGACATCTGTCTGACAAACCCTGTGCCCCTCCTCACCAGGCGCCATTAAGAAAAGGGGGTTTGTTTATACAACAGTAATAATGTATTATAAATGAGAGTGACAGCTAAAGCCTAGTGACCCTGACTTTCATAGGGAGCAGCCAGTGGCTTGGGACTATTAGGGTGAAAATGTAGTCTGAGTCTGCCATCTTTACCTACTTGGACTAATTCACCCCTATCCCACCCTTTGCATTGCCACTACTCACTCTTCTCCACAAATCTCCCGCCTTCAATCCTGGATACGGTTATGGACGTGATCGGTACCTTTAGCAAAGCTATAACTCAAAGGTCAAAGTCAGTCTTAAAGCTGTAATTGATCAACCTTTAATTAGATTCCAAGATTGAAATTAAATAGGCATCCGTTTTGTCTTTGCTCTAATGAGGGATTTAGAATTTTGATTAGAACATTTCCATCTCTGTAACTCTCCCCTTGAAGTTAACTTTGTTGTGTAGAAATGTTTGTTTATATCACAGACAATTTACAGGTTTACAGGTGTTTTTTTTTTTTTTTACCACTCCCTTACCTTCTCTTTACCACTCCTTATTTTGAGAATCTTCAGCCCTGAAAAACATAATGATGGACCACTACATTTTCCTGTTTCCTCTCTGAGAATTTGAACTTTCTCTGGTCTAACCTTTATCTCTTAATATACAAACTTTCATCATTTTATTCAGATAAAGAGCCTTTTCTCCCAAGAAAAACAAATGTACTGTGTTTTTTTCACTCATGACTTGCTTCTCCTATAGGGCTGCTGCGAAATTTGTTATTGTTATTTGTAAATACATTTGTGTTGTTTTTATTTTGGAAACACAACTCACCACCTTCCTAACTAGCACTTGACCTGAGCTGGCCTGCAGCCTTTCAGCTCATCTGTGACTTGTGTCCTGTACTGTAAGTGTACCGTGGTCCGGTCCTCCTCAAACACACACAGACACCTCTTTTTACTCTACTCTCCTTCACTCTTCTATTGCCTTGTTGGGGACTGAACCACTGTAAAGAAAAGGAAAATCAGAAAAAGAATGCTGCGGCTGCAGGCACAGGCTAAGCAGTACAGAGATCAGAGTAATAAAGAGGAATGCCGAGGGCGCGGTATGGCAGAACCCCCCCCATACCTACTTACCCTCCCTCCCACCCCAGGAGCGCTTCTCTGTCTCTGCAGGGGCCACACAGTCCGGACGACAGTAAATATTCAACCGTTTAATGCCGAATGGTTTCACCAGTTGTGTAGGTACACAGGCAAGGAAAATGCGTAGGTATACGTGCATTGGTGAGCCAAAACTATTCCCTCCTTTATTTGTATCCTTTGTTCTTGCTTATAATGATGTTTAAAAAAACAGCAATTGTATTTTCCTCTAGATTGTATTGTCTGTCAATGATATCTGTTTTCTGTTTATGAATGTGATGAGTGGGTTTCCCCCAGTTTGAATTCGTGTTTTTAAATTTGAATGTCTTTCACAGTAATCCAATGAGTGCCCTAGGTGGGGCTTAGCTCTGTATTTTTTTAGGAAGGTATTAACAGTAGAGGTAAGGGGTAGAAGGTTCATTTTTCATGGTTTTTTGCCTCTTCTATTTATTTTAAAACCAGTCAGGCATCATGTGTGAGAGGCTAAAGAAACTTCTCTATGGTGTAAAAGAGAAAAAAAAAAATAGAGGTGTGCGTGTGTATGAGAAAGAGAGAGAGAGACAATTAGAGGGCAAGTGGTGTGTATGTATGTACAGAAAGTGGCTGTAATCTTTTCATGCGCTAACATGTCACCGTGTCACCCGTCTAGGAGGAAGAAAAATCTAAGCGGGAGGAGCTGGAAAAAATCCTGGAAGAGAATAACCGCAAGATCGCAGATGCTCAGGCCAAACTGGTACGCCCTGCTCTATGCCTAGCAAAGCTGCTGTTTTGTTTTTTTCCCTTTCCTTTTTTTATATCTCTCTTTTTGCACGCTGCACACTGAATGACACACTAACTGTCTGACCGCATTATCCCGATCGCATCCAGTGATTTAAGTAAATGTATTGAATTGATGGTTATGAGCCATGATTAGATAAAAAGTTTGTATCTATGCTAAATGATTAGTTAATATGATTTGTCAGGTTTGATTTGGACAAACTGAAACAATAGCTGCACATAGAAAAGTAGAAGCAGTCTAAAATACTGCCAGGGGTTGGTGGACATTTGGTTTGAATGTCATTCTTTGCTATCCTTATCTGACCTTATTTTTTATGCTGTGTTTGCTGTTTTCGACAGGCTGAGGAGCAGTTGCGTATTGTAGAGGAACAGAGAAAGATTCACGAGGAGCGCATGAAGCTGGAGCAGGACCGTCAGAAGCAGCAGAAGGAGGAGCAGAAAATAATCCTGGGCAAGGGCAAGTCCAGGCCCAAGCTCTCCTTCTCCCTCAAGGCCACTGAATGAAACTGCTCCCCCGCTGTCCACATGTCATGCCCTGCCTTCACTCCCATCCAGCTCTCCTTCATCATTTGACCCCACTCCTCCTCTGTGGAACGCTCGCTTCGTTTTGGAAGTGCTGAAGAAAGGCCGAGGAAAGGGGTTCAAACCATTGTATTAAATTGCTTGTCCCAATGAAGGCCCTTGTCCCTCTCTGGCCTTGAAGAGGAGTGCTTCCTCCACCCTTCTCATCCCTACGGCGCAGATGACTTGTTTGCTTTTTTCCCCAGTTTATTTTCATATTTAGGGAACTTGAACTTTTGATGTAGAATGCTAAAACACATCCCTTGCCCTGCAAGTCTTAATTTTGGTGTAACAGTGAACAACTCTGCACCTGTACTCTTCTTACATGTCAGCAAACTACAATAGAATGCCAGTCCCTGATATAGAAGATGTCTAGTTTGTCTAGGTCAGCTTAACTGTTAAAGCTCATGTGCAGCCTGGGAGTGGACGTGTGGTTTTCCTGCTCTAAATCCTTTTTTTTTTTTTAATCAAATAGCTTTAGTGGTTGACACAATGGTGACAAATCACAGCACAGCCTTTCAAAGTTAACTTCCCATCCATCTGACAGGTTTGTTTCTTCCACCTTACTTCCTGTGAAAATGTGATATGATCACCATAGAAATCCACAGTTTCTTTTACTGAAATACTTCTAGTATTATTTGTAACTAAAACAGAAACATGGCAGCATGTCCAGAGAGGATATGCAAAGCTTTGATTTGAAGTTGCTGCATTGCAAGAGAACTCAGCCTCGACTACCAAGCTGCCCATGACTGAACCACAAACCTTCAGCAGGATACGTGTCCCGTCTATGATAAGGGGGCCTGTGGGTAACGGAGGAGAGGGGATGTTTCCTGTATGATGTAATGTTGTTAGCCTTGCTGTGATGTGCTCACTCCCACCCACCCCAAGTAAAGAGTGTGTTAAGAAATTGATCCCCAATTACAAAAGGAAACGTTACAGTAATGGTAAATACTTGAGCTTTGTTTTATCAGACTGTGGGAAAACAGTGAAATGCACGAAAACTCCCAACTGTAGACTCGCTGTTCTGTCCCTGAACTTTGTTGTAGTAAATGAACGTGGCAATGCGCCTTATGTGGTAAGTCTTGATTCGTACTGGATGGACAAGTTCAGGTAAGATGAGGTTTGAGGTTAGTGTGAGTGTGTGAGCGAATGCCAGTGTGTGTGTGATTGTGACTGAGGCTGACCTCAGGTGGGTATATGACTATGTAATGTGGGATTTTGAATTTATCATGTAATTTCCCCCCAATTGTCAAGGGACTGAACAGTTGAGTAAACCCATCGAATGCCTACTCTGTTGTGTGTGATGTTCTTAATTCACTGATAATTCTTCACCACGGGTTTAACTACAATCAACTAGTTAAGGAGAAGTGGGGAGTAAACTGAAAATACATTAGACTTAAAGTTGAGTTGACTTAGTGTTTGGTATGAGGTAATATAAACAGCATTGTGAGCTGTTCAGGGACAGATTTGAATAGTATCAGTGGTGCGTTAGTGCTCTAATACAAATACACGTCTTCTCATGCAGAACCAGCACATCAATGTCAAGTTAAATATAAAAGGTCTATATCACCAGACCAATGTGAGTTAGCAGCTCCAGCCTCGCGTGAAAGATCATCTGAAACCCTCGTTCATGTGTTTACAGCACGGAAACAATGATTACAAACACCACAACACACAGGCCCTACATCAGCGAGTGATGATGAGTTAGCAGACTAACTATTTTTTGAAGTGGAATCGCAGCCAGTAAGAGCTCAGCTCCGCAGTCCATCACAGACCTCCGTCAGAGAGGCTGAGCAGGATGATCCGTGCGTGCTGCCGCAGCGCTGCTGAATAAACATGCCGCTCCTCGGCCTGTGCAGCCTGCACTGATCCGCCGATGTCCTCCAACAACTGGCCTCAAATAAACGAGCAGTTCTCTGAGTAAAACGACTCCAATAAAACAATAAACCAAACAGTTTCAAGTGAAATATGCACCAGCTGCTAGAAAGTAGAAGAACTAAGATTAAATGTTCAAATTTCTGCAATTTACTTTTAACGGTTAAAAGTTGAAGTTGATTCATCAAGGTTTTGTGTTAACAAGGAAAATATCGACTTTATGTTAGTAAGGTAAAAGCAACAGTAAGTCTTCCCGGTGTAGTACTGCATTACTGCGAGTGTGTGTGTGTGTGTGTGTGTTTCTTCGGCCTGATCTCGAGCCGGGTTGACTGAGTTGTCCCAGCCTGTCAGAGGCAGGAAGGAAAAGGTTTAAAAATAAAGAAACTCGAGCTGCTCCGTCATCCACAGTTTTCACTACAACATCATTTCAGCACACCGCAAACCTGTGCAACTCAACATGGAACTGAACCGGGGCTCACACGGTTTCATATAGTGCGGCCACTTCCACTCACCACCACAAACACGCTGTAAATGAGACTGTACGCGTGTTGAAGGGACAATTTAAAATGAAAAAAATGTATTTCCATAAATATAATAATTATTCTCTGAGTGTCTGTGATACATTCATATTTACTTTTACAGAGAAACCGACTGTGCAGAAAAAGAACGTCGGTGTATAATAGCCTACAGGAGATAAAATACAAATCTTTCTGAAAGCTTCATAGACAGTGAGGAAAATATGAAAACGAACAGGAGCACCAAGATGTGCGCCGGGGTGGAAGTTTGCAGGTAGACGCACTGTCATGGTCCATCCTCCATCCACTGGACGTCCCTGAAACTCGTGTCCCTGCAGTCTCAGCAGCGTGGTGTCCATCACGCAGCTCTAATCAACATCCACGGTGCGAGAGTCCGAGGCCCTCCGTGTGTTTACTGCAGAGCCGCGTCCCTTCGACCGGCTCCTCGGCTCAACACACAGCCGCTTCCTGCTCCATCTGATCGAATTAAGTCGTGAAAAGGTGACAAAGTTTCACACGGCAGAGGTGACACCGTGTGCGCACGTGTGTGTGTGTGTGTGTGTGTGTGTGTGTGTGTGTGTGTGTGTGTGTGTGTGTGTGTGCGCGCTGCTCTAATTAGCGACCATTGACTAGAAATGCGGTGTTTGCAGGACGTGTGAATGTTTGCCATTAGACTTGTTCTTTGAGAGACGCACATTGAAATGGTAAAAACGGACCTTTTATCGGATCGAATTATATAATCCAATAAACACAGCGTCGTAATTTGAATAATGAAATTTAAAGTTGTTTTATCGGGGAAAACTAAAAAACATAGTTCAAATAAAATGCCAACCTTTCATTATCTGCTAAAATGTAAAAAAAAAAAAACACACTAGGAATTTCCCTTTAAAAACTCCTCATGTAAAACAATCTGTTTTAAACACTAGAATGTTATTTGACTGACATGTTATAAATAAATACACTTGTAACTTCCATTTAGATGTTTAAAAAAGTATTCCATTGTGTGTGGCTTCTCCTCTTGTTGTCTCTGGTGTGGATTTTTCCGCTAGTGGGCGCTCTTGCCCCGCGAATGAACATGAGGTGCATTTATCGCAGCGCAGTGCCCGGGGACGCGCAGCATCGTGGCTCAGTACAGTCATGTGAACGAGCCTTATGGGACCCAACGTTGGCTCGTGGTTTTGGGCTCATCCACACGGATCACGTGACCAACGCTGCTCACGAAGAACCGAAACGAAGACGAAGTCTGGTTTGGATCGTGAGGCGGATGTTTGTAATAAAGAAATACACAGGGAGTTATTATTATTATTATTATTATTATCACACAGAAGTGGCTTCACCGTTGTTATCACTGTGGTATTAATCACAGATCCAACACGGAGTGTATGACACCGTGCTGGGGTCACGCTGCTGCCCTGCAGATGGACACGAGTGGGGCTGGACGCTCCTTTCTCTCCGCGTCGCTCACCGCTGAACCAGTTGCCCTCCTTGATTGACAGCCGGGCTCCTACTGACTTCCCCGCCGAGGGACCAATCAGCGGCGGCGCGGGGCGGGGCCTGGGCATGACCAGCTCCAGCTAATATTGCGAGTCTCCGAGTCTCGCAGTTAGTTTCCATCCAGGTTCCAGAGCGTCGCCGAGGCTTCATCCCTGCGCGTGGGACGGATCTGCAGGATTCAGCTGCAGCACTTGTTCTGTGCAGCCACAGTATGAGAATTTCCATTCCAGCTCTTTTGATTTCTTTCATTCTCATATTTGATCATTTTCTTCGTTTTGACCATCCGATCCCATTGTGTAGCCTTTCTCATTTATCGGCTGCTGTCACCCACAGTTTGTTGCTCACCACCACCACCACCACCACCTCCACCGGCACCAGCTGAAAGGGGAACATCTCATCACTCCACACGTCAGCCACCACCAGTCCTTGTTCTCTGCTGCTGCGGCTCTGGATGCTGAACTTGAACGCAGGGGGATTTCTATTCGTGTTGCTTTCCGTCTGCCGCCCGGTCCACAGCGGACGCCAGCACTTCTTCTCTCTGAGGGATGTATTGCAGCGGGTTGAAGTGTGCGCTCTGAGCGGGGAGAATATTAACGCACTGTCTGCTGCGTGAACTGCTGCCGTGCGCCTTTGCTTTCTGTGGCGGCTCTCTCTTCTGGAGATGCTCTAATCGGGCTTTGTGGTCAGTGCGCATCGCCACTGGATCGGGATATAAAGTGACGACATCGCCGCGGTCCGTATTTTCTGGAGCGCTCGATTTCGGTATTTATTTTTTTTTATAAATAGAGATTTGGTTCTTTTGAGACGGATTGTGCACCAGCCGGAGGCACGCAGGCTCACCATGGGGGATTCGATGTGGATTTATTATTTTGGAGTTTTGTTTATTGCCTTCAAAGTGGACTTGTGCCGGGCGCTCATCCTGGAGTCCATCTACTGGAACACAACAAATACCAAGTAAGTGCAACACAAGCCTGGCGACTGGCTCCCGACGTGCCTTACGCTCCCCGTGCGCCAGACGCCGCTGAAAAATCGAATAATTGAACGGTGCTTCGCTCGCCGCCCGTGGCATTTGACGCGTAAAATAAATAACACAATGTAACTTTAAAGACACAATTCTTCACTTCGGTGTACATCGAGTAGAACAAAGAGCTCTCACACGAGAATGATTTGAAATGTGAATTTATCTTCGCCTGTTATTGACACAGCGGCGAACTGTTGGAGTCGCGTCTGAGAAGTCCGATTTACCAAAACACACGCTGACATCAGCGAACCTTTGTTAATGAGTTGTGAAAAATACCAAATAAATCCCTGTCCGCTCTGTACATTTACCCGACACTTTTAAAACGGAGTTTAGGTTTTTTTATTTTTGAAAATGAAGTGTCGGCTCCAACCAAACGGGACAATGTGCCCAAAACGACGCCGCTCTCATACTCATCCAAACACCTGTCAGGATAAGTGAAGCTCGTACTTTACCGTGGCACTGATACAGGCCTGTTTACTGTTTGCGTCCTGCCGCCGTTGAATATTTACGCGCAGTGGACAGCTCGGGGCCGCTCGGCCGTGCGTCTCTCGCCACGGCACAAACCCGCCTCAGAGCGAGCAGCCCGGGAGTTACGGTCATTCTCATATTATTTGTTGTTTACGGGCATCTTTCTGTGGAGTTGCTGAGAGATGTGTCTCATTTAGCTTGTACGCAGGGAGGGGGGGGGGGGGGATTTTTTTTTGAAGATAATTTTTACGCATCGCTTCCTCGGTCAAGAATAACTCGACCGTGCGTATTGCAATTCATATTTGTTACAGGTCGGAATAAATGTGNCCTCAGAGCGAGCAGCCCGGGAGTTACGGTCATTCTCATATTATTTGTTGTTTACGGGCATCTTTCTGTGGAGTTGCTGAGAGATGTGTCTCATTGGGGGGGGGGGGGGGGAATTCATTTTGAAGATAATTTTTACGCATCGCTTCCTCGGTCAAGAATAACTCGACCGTGCGTATTGCAATTCATATTTGTTACAGGTCGGAATAAATGTGATGAAGCAGACATTTTAAAGTGTGTTGAGCTCCGGTCCGTCGAGGTCCATCTATTCCACCGCAGTTATACTGGTCAAATATTGGGTGTTCCATTTGATCCTGTTATTAATGAGAGCAATAAGAAAAGCATCATGGAACAGTGGAGTGCTAACAGAGGGACAGCGAGGCTTCGTGGAGCTGGCGGGACGCACACAGGCCTGTGATGTTCTGTTGCTGCGTCCAGAATTCCCCATGAGAATAATTTAATCACTCACTGGGGGTTTGTTTATTTGGAGGGAAATATGCTGGAAATATGTTTAGTGAGACGAAAACTTTTACTGGACTTCCAACCCGCCGCTCTCCAGCCGTTTAAGGCCGTGTCTTGCTCCTGTGCGCGC